AGATGCTTCTTAACATACACCAAAAAATTAAAGAAATCTAAGCATAAATAATGGAGTTCACTTATCAGCAATTAGCCACCCCTTAGCGGTAAATAATGTTTTTTATGGATGTATTCTCGTTTTTTTTTTTTTGGTCTCATTTGATAGAATGGAAGATATATTACAGAACCAGATATGATTTTGATTGCTTTCACTATGAAAAATTCCTTGAAATTGAGCTCAACCTAGGAGAACTGGTCCATTGCTTGGCTGTTTCAAAGTAAACAAATGATGTCATTGTCCATTCCAATATGCAGTCATAAATGGGTTGACATTATTTATACAATTATTGCAATAAGGAATAACAGTAAATCTTATATTTTTTGTGTGAATAAAAATTACAAATTATTTATATAATAATAATTATAATATGCATAATAATACGTACAATAATAATATGTATAATAATAATAGTATAATAATATACAATAATAATAATAATAATATGTATAATAATACATATACAATAATAATGTACTACATATAATAATTATAATAGATGGCTTCAAAAGGCCGTCACTAGATGGCAGCGTTTACCACAACAAAGAGGGAGCGGTTGTGGCCGCCTCCACCTGTTACATAATGACATATTTTATTCATTCTAGAGTATATATCATGTTCCTATGTTATTTATATTGTTTGTAATGTCATATTAGATGAACTGTGATAGATAAATAAGCCGTATAGATGATATTAGCGAAATTGTTCATGAAGTATTTTGCCCGGTCTCCAGACAAACTCTCATCCACCACCGACACCACCCATACCACTACATGAATGACATCTTTTATTCATTTTAGAGTATATATCAGGTTTCTATGTTATTTATATTGTTTATTATGTCATATTCAAATTCAAAGTTTATTCTCTATAAGGATTGCAATGCTGAGTTTACAGAATTTGGTTATTGTGTGGTTTACATGTAGTAAAATACTAATTACAGAGGGGGCCACTAGAACACCTAGCATGGCTAGGCATTTCGGGCAGACTTAGATTAGTTCTTAACTTTAAAATATTACAAATTATGAGGGATAGACAAATAAGCCATAGAGTTGATATTAGGGAAATTATTGAAGTACAGAATTCCAATGGAACAGATTAATTGCATTTCAGTTAATTTAAATGAGGAAAATTGACTCTGCCAAAGAGCAAATCCAGTTGTGAGCAAGGTCATGGAACGGATTAACCCCTTCAGGGTCCAAGGGTCTGAAGTGGTGCTCAAGTGTCCAAGAAATTTTGAAAAAAAAAAAAAATTATTTTTTCTTACAGAATTAAAGAGCATATTTTTGTGAAGGTAATAAGACAAAAAAAAAAATTCTGATCAGTACTTACTGAGATACAGTGCCAAGAAGTTTGGCGGCAACATCGACGAATTCTACATATGCGCATTACATTATTTAGCGGTTTTTATAGTTTTTTCTTTTCTTTTCCAATTTTTTTTCTATTCCTATTACAGTTGGGCCTCTGAGAGACCAATACTGGGTATATTAATGTATATTTTTAAATCACTGTATTGAAACCAATAACTGCACTAAAGTTTTTATCATTTATTGTTTACCACTTTGTTTATTACAATAAACATGCACACAAATCTTGTATAATACTAATGTTATATTTACAATATATTTACAATTACTGGACAGGGTTTTAGAAACAGCTGGAGCTTGTGTAAAAATCTTGAAACAAGGCAAAATGCACAGAGGACCTTACATTCCTCAACACATCAAACCGAGTGCTTTGCTTCCGTGTTGCGTGTTTTGTTTGTGCACAGTCGTTGATCTCTTCTGAGTTTGAAGGAAGCAGTAATATGAAATGATCACCTTCACTCTCCAATCGCTTGCGGCTTTATCCTGAGTAATGCGAGGATCTTGTTGTATAGCAAGGTGTTCTTTACATGCCGTACTTCATTATGATTTGGTCTGACAACTGACAAAACAAAAGTCACCTTGGTTGGTCTGTCGTTGCGAAATCGTTATTTGGTACATTTATAGCATTGAGCATTGAAAATGTCCATGAGATGGAAGTAAAAGCTTCAGTACCACTTGTAACTATTACGAACAGTCAACAAAAACCAATCTGCATGTCACTTTTGTCAAACCAAGCGAATGTTTGTGTATAATCAAACACTGTCATGCGTTTTGCGATCGAATTCGTTCATTAGTCACTCCGATCAGCTTTGCCACTGTTCTTGCATTTCTTTACGGTGAATGGTTGTCAACTATTGTGACAATTCGTTTGTCATGCACCGTAATGCCTGATGTCATGGCAGTAAAATTTCTGCAAGTCATCACATGAGCACCTGCGTGAGACCTGGGCTTATGTTTATGATTAGAAGCACTGTGCCACACACATTCTGTCTTGTTGACTACATGAAATAATGAGTAATGGGCTTGTGGTACCAGTTATCGGTATATAAAAATTTGTATGCCCCTACCAAGATAAGGTGGCCATCATGTTTCTCATCTACGTACCTGAGGGTTATCCAAATAACCTTCTTGGTTCTTTCAATGTTTTACTTCCAGGTATACAACAATATCCAACTACCAGGCCTCGTCACAGTCACAGAGTACTAAAAGTATTATACCAAAGCGTTTCTCTTGCTCGGTATATACAGCTTGATTGGACAGTCTACCTTTGAACAAAATCAAAGGACTCGTCTAATTTACTACATTCTTGAATGGATAAAAGTATATGCTGATACTTTTGTTTTGGAGATACATGAAAACATTTTCTAATCTTATATAACCTGTCGTTCTGTAGGCCTGGTTTTGTCAGAGAAGTGCAACATACGTAAGAGTAAGATAATACACTGCTAACTGGGATGATTTTACTGAAGTCCGGGGTAGACATCAGCGTCTGTGGACCGTATGCTTTTATATTATGCTTATAGACGTGAGGAATAAGCACTTTGTTGCAAAAAGCATATACATTTCTGTAACAGTCGTCTCTTTCCACCTGTGTAGTCTGGAATGTGGTGATATGACGTATTTGCCATGGTTGTACTCAAATACTTATACTTTCCTGCTATAGTTTCATCAATGGATGGTCAAAGAATAATTCAAAGAATTCCAGTGATTGGCCCGTGGGTTTCCAAGGGGACAAGTAGGTAGAATTCCCACTTTTGTGAGTCATCAAAGTGGTGAGGGTTGGGAAAAAATTGGGATTTTGCTGCCATCCCACTAGGTTTGTTGGTGGATACTGGAAATCATAGGCGGTTGAGCGGGGTGGTTGTGGTTGTGGTGGGCTGGTGATGACACTCCGCTTTGTCCATTGAACTGTCGTGGGTCAGCAGCGTGGGTCCCAGCGTGGGCTGGTGAGTATGCATGGCAGGTGACACTTCCATCACCAATACCACATCCAGGATGCCTGTGGTCTATTCCTTGCCAAGTGTGCCACTTCAATCCTCAATATCACTACCTTAAAACTGGGGTTAGGGCCTCGGGAGGTACTCGTCCCCTGAGACTGCATAGGGTACACTAACCCGGAGCGCTTGCGGCGGAGAACATTCCGAACGCTTCACTGGTGTATATGATTTCACTTCACTACTCGAAATGTTCGTTAGAGAAATTAAAATCACAATCCTGTCACTATCATCATCTTACTGAAGTCAGAGGCCTGGCCACGCGAAAATATTAGTTTCTCTTGCGTTGTGGGCCCCACAACGACCGTGAGTCACGTAGTGCCCACACCAGAGGTAGAAGGTTGAGGATCGTAAGGGTTTACTCACTATTATCGTTATCTGGCCATTCCTTTCGGTCACTAACTGATCCCAAAGCCCGTAGATCGTCTTCATTTCCACTTCCATCCATTATGTTCTGAAACATCAGATAGAAGAGGCAGTTGTCCCATTTTCCGGGGCGTGAGAGCTGGACTGGCGACGAGGCATGGTGGAACAAGGGTAACTGTGCCGGCGTTTCCCACAATGCTATGCGGGCGCTAGATTTTTTGTTTATGGCGCACACCCACCACGCAGACCTGTTCTCTCACATGTAGGCCTATGAGCGCTTTCGCGCTAAATTTGACAGCGCTAGAATTTTGGCATAGATCTACGGTTTGGACACAACGTGAAGCCGTAGATCTATGGGACGGACCCTGAAAGGGTTAAACTCGCAAGTAGAGGTTCCACTGTGTTTGTTTTATAATTGAACAAATACATTTCTCTAGAGAAACTAAGTATCTTGACATGCTAGGTCAAGATTGCAAGTTTTTTTTTTCTTCTTTTTCTTTTTTTAGTGTAATGACAGTCACCAGACTTTATAGATGTAATGTATTGATCATATGGAACTGCAGTAAAATTATACATTGTGTTAGACACTTAAAGCAGGGAAGTTTATTGGTGTAGATTTTCACCCATAAGTGGGATTTATGAAGTATATGATTTATTTAAATTAATAAAGCTCAGTAGTGAATAAAATGGTGTACCAAAAAAGACTTCACTGCATTATGTACCTGTTTACCACTTAGCAACATTACTAATTTTTGGTATTAAAAAATACCACATTTTTTTATAAATTCAGAAACAGTGCAGTCTTTACTCCCAAGCTGGTCTGCATTATTAAATTAACCCGTAAACGGTCCAAACGTATATATACGTTCACTACCGTACTGCCCCAGCTTTTTTTGAGAAAAAAAAAAAACATTGTTGTTTTTTAATAGGAAAAAAGAGCACTTGGTACCCAGGCATCCCCAATTATTTTAATATGGCGCACAGTGAGTGCTCACACCCATTCTCTCATCTTAAGGTGACTCAGGCTTATCGTGGCAATGTTAAATGTATGACACACAAAACGTATATATTACGTTTGGGCAATAGCCGGCTAAAAAGTATATATACGTTTGGACCATTTACGGGTTAAACTTTTCCTCCCTATTTGCTTTCAGGTAAGTGCATACTTATTAATGTTGTAACCTGATTAGCTTTACCAAAATCTAGTATTTAACATAAATATCCTTTGTTACAGATAATTGCAGCAGAGACCATATAGCATGAAGGACACCTGAAAGAGAGCTGGTGAAACATTCTAAGAAGATTAGAGCAACAGTGGTTTTCTAATGATTAAATTTGTTACGGATAGGCTTTGTCACCAGAAAATATGCATTACTCTACTGGATTAGTAACATTCAATGTAATTTTTAAGCATATTTTAATAGGAATCAACTCACATTGATTAATGGTGGGTATTTGTAATGTGTTGTCAGTGAAAATAAGTAAGTTTGTATGTTTTATATTTTATGGAACTTAATTTAGGTACTGCTATCAAGTGTTGTGTATTATTTTATATATATATTTTTTTTTTTCATCCAATTTGTTATTCAGCTAAATTTGTTACACACTTGGCTAATTTGAAAGTGAGTGTGCACAATCTTAGGTTTTCACAGTACTGTTGTTTAATATTCTCCGACTCCTAATCAGTTAATCAAAATACAGTTTAAATGGGAAAACCTTTCTTGTGCAACGTTTCATTCACAGGAGGGCTTATCAGGTACAGTGAACCCTTGATTAAATGAACTAGGAGAGGGGGGTGCCCATTTAAGACTTTGTTTTTTTTAATCCAAATTGAGAATATTTTCCCCATAATTGTAAGAGTAATGAACAATTTGGACTTAACAGAATTGGTCCGTTAAATCCAAAAAAAAAAAATTTACCTAGCGGATCATAAAAATAATTAGCAATTCTGGATTTAAAGGTTTTTTAGTTAATTCCAAAATTAGTTTATCCAGCAGACCACAAGAATAATATACAATTCGAGATTTAACAGACTATTCATTGTGTTTGAATTGTTGCTCAGCCACAGATTTTCTCTGTTAAATATAGAAATTATTAAATCTAGAGTTCATTGTACTTAACCATTAAACGGTCCAAACGTATATATACGTTTTTACCGCTAGTGCCCCAAACGTATATACATGTATACGTTTTATTTGTCATACATTCAACATTGCCACGATAAGCCTGAGTCGTCTAGACGTGAGCGAATGGGTGTGTGCACTCATTGTGTGCCATATTAAAATAATTGGGGATGCCTAGGTACCATATTTTCTTTTTTTCTATTAAAAAAAAAAAATTCTCAAAAAAAGTTTGGGCACTTCGGTAGAGAACGTATATATACGTTTGGACCATTTATGGGTTAAAAAAGACCTACTGTGGGTAAAATATGAAATAAAGGTTTCTTTCTCTACTGAAAGTGTTCATGAATTACCACTTGGCTTAAGCTATTTCATAAATTTGGATCTCTTAAAGAGCTTGGTTTTTAAAATTTCATTGATACTCGTCATGCAAAATACATATAGATGGTGTATAATACGAAATTCAAAATACATGAGTGTGAGTTAACGAGTGAGTGTGTGTGTGTGTGTGTGTGTGTGTGTGTGTGTGTGTGTGTGTGTGTGTGTGTGTGTGTGTGTGTGAGTGAGTGAGTGAGTGAGTGAGTGTGTGTGTGTGTGTGTGTGTGTGTGTGTGTGTGTGTGTGTGTGGTGTGTGTGTGTGTGTGTGTGTGTGAGTGTGTGTGTGTGTGTGTGTGTGTGTGTGTGTGTGTGTGTGAGTGTGAGTGTGAGTGTGAGTGTGTGTGGTGTGTGTGTGTGTGTGTGTGTGTGTGAGAGAGTGTGTGTGTGTGTGTGAGAGTGAGTGAGAGAGAGAAAGAGAAAGAGAGAGAGAGAGAGAGAGAGAGAACATTCAACAAGTTAAAAATGTCTTCACTACTCTTAAGTATAAAGTTTGTACTGTTTAATACAAGTGACATAAAAGTTGTACTTCATACACTTCCTGACATTTAAATTGTAAGAAGAGAGAATTAGCGTTACAGTTTGTGAGTAGGATATTCATTTGTTGTACTACTGATAAATTATTTTTTAAATTGCTGCACAAGTTAAGTGTTTGTAATTTATGCTTCATTCCAAGGATTTAACTTGACTGAAAAGAAGTCTTATTAAGCATCATATGTAAAGCATTTGTGTTAATTTTTTCAGAACATTTTCTCTGGAATGGAAGAATTGCTGGTATAGATACACCTACCATCCGACTTACGACTGAGTTCAGTTCCGAGAAACTGGTCGTAAGTCGAAATGGTCGTAAGTTGAACTTTACTACTGAATATCAACAAAACATTTTTGTAATGACTTTATTTTATTGTTTTATTTTGGTATTTCATGTTTTACTTTACTTTTTATGTTGTTAGTACTGTATTTTATACTGTAAGGATTAGGATAAACACTGTGTACAACACAAATAGTTGTTTATTTCCCAGAAATTTTGCATAAAAAACACTGGTCGTAAGTCGAGTGGTTGTAAGTCGAGCAGGTCGTAAGTCGGATGGTAGGTGTATTATCCTTTATTAAAGTTAATGCAGAAGTTTATATTTTATAAAATAAGGTATCCATATTGCATTATATTTTTTTTATTACTGTTACACAAGAACCAGGACTGAGCCACCCAGTAGTATTGTTGTATGAATGATGCCCGTAGATCCTCCAGATCACTGCACATTCTTCTTTTCTATATGTACACCCTTCTCAGATATACATTCTTAAGTATGTTGACATTGCTGGGCTTAAATGAGGGTTGAGATTATTTTCTTTAGTGAGTAGAGATAATAGGAAAGTTTAAAAAAAAAAAAATGCTGCCAATGTTAAACATCACTTAAGGCATCATCATGTCAGCAGTTTATGTTTCTAAAAATTTTGAAAGGTTTATAGCTTTTATTCAGTTTATTTACATAGATGTTAGGAAATGTCTGGGGCAAGCTCTTGCTCTTAATTTTAAGATGTCAGTAGTAATATCTGTGTGATTTAATTAAATGTGGATTTGTTGTACTTTTCATAAATTCAAATCTGGCCAATGATTATAGCCAACCACAGATCAACTTGTTAATTTTTTAATATACTTGTAAAGCCTCTCATCCGTCCAGCCAGCATCAGATACTCGGAGGTGTGGATTTGCGAGATTTCGGCTTGAGTACATGCAATATATGTATAACTTTCTTAATATGCGAGATACATAAGTTATCTTTTCATGTATCACAAATCTTATTGTAATAAATATAAGCATTTTAATTGTTAGTATCAATATAATAAATTTTCTATTTTTTTTTTTTTTTCAAGTCGGCCGTCTCCCACCGAGGCAGGGTGAATTTTCTATTTATGTATTAGATTTTGCTGTTGTATGAAATTTGAGGAATCCTATTACAAGTGTTTCATGTACAGTATTTGTATATTACAGTAAATTCTCTCATAATGCACAGGTTACATTTCCAAAATTGATGGTAGACTTGTGCCTGTGTCATCCACTGCTACTTCAAACTGTAATTCTTTCCACTTTCATTTTGGGAATTTGGCAATGGTAGATCTAAACAGTGGTAACAATACAGTGTTTGAGGATGCTCATTACTGCCTGCAGTAGTGACCATTTATTTAGTTTCACCTGATCCAGGCTGTTGCTGTTTTGCCCGTGCTAGGGCTAGCTGGTTGATGAGTTTCTCCAGTCTTGGTGTTGCTGGAAAATGTGCTATTGAAACTCCAGGACAAACATGAGGTCATACCTTGTGGTATGGGCGCGAGCCGCCTCTGATACGTCACTTAACTGCTGTTGTACCTGGCCTGTCCCTCCTTTGAGCCCTGGCTGCATCCTAGCTTGTGATTCTAATCAGTGTGTCTGGGTGAACTGTATTAAAATTGGGAAGTGTTTAACTCATTGGGGTCACACGGTGTGCAGGAAATGGGAGGCAATTGGATTTGATCCAAGGAGGGGGAAAGTGTAGCCACTTCCTTAGATCAAGAGCCCCTCACCAACATAAAGAAACCCCCTCTAAGGAGGTTCCTTGATGCTGGTGAGGGAAGTAACCTCTGGGTGCTGGTAATGCACCCAGAGGTTACTGACCATCAGTTAAGTGTTTTTGAATGGGGAGCAAGGCTTGACTGGCTGTGCAGGTGTCTTGGGTGCTGTAATTTATTGATAGAAATACTGACAATAAGTTAGGAAAAGGGCACATGTAACTGACACATTTTATTACAGCAACTTTTCTCTCTAGAAGCCTTGCTGAATCAATAAAAACAAGGACCTGGAGGTCTTATATAGGTAACAAGGTGAGTTGAAAGACTATAAGCACTGTAGGCCTACTGACTCGTAATAATAATTTTTTTTTTTTTTTTAACAAGTCGGCCGTCTCCCACCGAAGCAGGGTGACCCAAAAAGAAAGAAAATCCCCAAAAAGAAAATACTTTCATAATCATTCAACACTTTCACCTCACTCACACATAATCACTGTTTTTGCAGAGGTGCTCAAAACACAACAGTTTAGAAGCATATACATATAAAGATACACAACATATCCCTCCAACCTGCTAATATCCCGAACCCCTCCTTTAGAGTGCAGGCACTGTACTTCCCATTTCCAGGACTCAAGTCCAGCTATATAAAAATAACCGGTTTTCCTGAATCCTTTCACTAATTATTACCCTGCTCACACTCAACAGATCGTCAGGTCCCAAATACCATTCATCTCCATTCACTCCTATCGAACACGCTCATGCACGCCTGCTGGAAGTCCAAGCCCCTCGCCCACAAAACCTCCCTTACCCCTTCCTTCCAACCTTTTCGAGGACGACCCCTACCCCGCCTTCCGTTCTCTACAGATTTACACACTCTCCATGTCATTCTACTTTGATCCATTCTCTCTAAATGACCAAACCACCTCAACAACCCCTCTTCAGCCCTCTGACTAATACTTTTATTACTCCACACCTTAATAATAGTAATATTATTAGTATTATTATCAAAGAGAAAATAGTAATAGTGATAGCGGGGCTTACTATTTTAATGAGGCTTTGTGCTAATACTGAGGCAATGAAGCTGCCTTTATTCTGTTTAATGGTATCTGCAATAGAGATTAATGATGACTCGATATATTTTTCTTTGAAAGAATTTGTTTCTTTTATCACTAGGCAGGCATCATTGATTCATCAAATGGTTGGAGGAGTTTCAGTATTGTACACATACAGTGGACCCCCGGTTAACGATATTTTTTCACTCCAGAAGTATGTTCAGGTGCCAGTACTGACCGAATTTATTCCCATAAGAAATATTGTGAAGTAGATTAGTCCATTTCAGACCCCCAAACATACACATGCAAACGCACTTACATAAATACACTTACATAATTGGTCGCATTCGGAGGTAATCGTTATGCGGGGGTCCACTGTACATTGTTAAAGTTGTTACTGTATGCATTCATATGTCCACTCATGTATACCTTGTCACAGCCTGGTTTAGGGCATTGATGAATGTTGTGGCGAATAGTGTTGGCTTATGAAAGTACTTTGTAGACGCTCAGAGCAACTTCGCTGTTGATAAGGATTATAATTTTGTTTAAAGTGGTGTTAGTACATGGAGATTTGATGATTTGAAGGGCTCATTTCTTAGTCATGAAAAATGAAAGAAACCAGCTCAATGAAGTTTTGGTGTATGTATGTAAATGTCTCATCAGGAAACTTGGTGCTGCGAATTTGGTATGCTCTTAGAAAAGACGATGACGATATCTCATTTGGTCTTCACTAAAATATAAGCATGTAAAATCCTTTTATGGTTCTGGGGGTCAGCGCCCCCTTGGTCTGGTCTGAGACCAGGCCTCGTGGTGGATCAGGGTCTGATCAACCAGGTTGTTATTGCTGGCCACACGCAAAATAACTTACAAACCACAGCCCAGCTGGCCAGGTACTGACTAGGTGCCTGTCCAGTGCCTTCTTGAAGACAGCCAGGGGTCTATTGGCAATCCCCCTTATGTATGCTGGGAGGCAACTGAACAGTCTTGGGGCCCCTGACACTTATTGTGTTCTCTCAGTGTACTCGGGGTGCCCTTGCTTTTCACTGGGGAAATGTTGCATCTCCTGCCTAGAATTTTGTTTTCATAGGGAGTAATTTTCGTGTGCAAGTTTGGTACTAATCCCTCTAGGACTTTCCAAGTGTATTTTATCATGTATCTCTCGTCTGCATTCCAGGGAATACAGATCAAGGGACTTAAACCGTTCCCAGTAATTTAGGTGCTTTATCGTACTTGTATGTGCCATGAAAGTTCTTTGTACACTCTCTTGGTCAGCAATTTTGCCTGCTTTAATGGGGGCAGTTACTGTACAGCAGTATTCTAGCCTAGAGAACAAGTGATTTGAAGAGAATCATCATAGGCTTGGCATCCCTAGTTTTGAAGGTTCTCATTATCCATCCTATCATTTTTCTAGCAGATGCAATAGATACATTGTTGTGGTTTTTGAAGGTGAGATCCTCTGACATTATCACTCCCAGGTCCTTCACATTCCATTTTTGCTCTGTTGTACAGTTAGAATTTGTTGTATACCCTGATATTTTTAATTTCCTCAAGTTTCCCATATCTGAGTAAAGTAAAAGGACACAAGTGCAACTAATGTGACATTTATTGTGGCAACGTTTCGCTCTCCAGGAGCTTTATCAAGCCATTACAAACAATACATGGACACAGAGGGTATATAAAGGCTCAGAGTGAGGTGAATACTAGTGAGGTACCATTCCGATGTTCACTAGTGGTAGTAGTAGTAGTAGTAGTGGTAGTGACAAAAGCAATTAATTCGTACATGAGTAAAAGGATATAAAAGCTATTACTTGGGTAACATAAAAATAGGTTGGACAAATATAAACTGGAATGAGGCAGGTTGTTTCAGTGTTCACTCTCTGTGCTTTGTGTAGTATAACAGGAGAGACTATGTGATGGCAGGGTTTACTGTTTTCAGGGGATTCTTGCTAGACTTCGGAGATGGTGAAGCTGCGTTGTTTTGTTTAAATTTTATTCGAAACAGCGATCAGTGCGATTCAAGGCATTTGCGTTGGGGCGGAAATTAGTTTCTTTTATCACTAATTGGGCGTCTCTGAATTTCATAAGATGATTGGTGGAATTTCGGTGTTGTACACAGGCGTTGTTTAAGGTTGTCGTTCCTACATGCGTATATGTGTTCATTGAGGCGGGTGTCGAGGTTTCTTGCTGTTCACCTACGTGTCTTGTCACAGCCTCCACATATAGTGTAAACTCCTGCATTGACTGGTTCGTGGGGCTTGGGTTTTGTCTGGTTAGATCCTTTATTGAAGTGGTAGAAGCGATGGCGACTCTGGTGTTAGCTTGTGAAAGTACTTTTGAGACGTTTAGTGCAACCTGGCTGTTGGGAAGAATTATAACTTTGTTGGGAGCGGTGTTGATGCGTGGAGAATTGATGATCTGAAGAGCTCTTTTCTTGCAGTCTTTGATGAAAAAGAAGGAAATTGTAACTCAGTGAATGTTTGGTGAATGTAAGTACATTCCTCGTCAAGAAACTCAGGGACTACAAATTCGGTATGCTCTTAGGAAAAACCCGATGATGATGCCTCTTTTGGTCTTGGTATCTTGACTGGAATAGAAGTGTGTGAGATCATTTTTATTGGTGGGTTTCGATAAACTTGAAATCTTAGGTTGTTGTCTACTTTGTGAATGAGGACGTCGAGGAAAGGTAGCTTGTCATTGGACTCTTCTTCTAGTGTAAACTGAATCGCTGGTTCAACTGCGTTGAGCCTTGCCTGAAGATCCCGTACATCAAAACGTTTTGGAGTTATTACGAGGACATCGTCCACGTAACGTAACCAAGTGACGCTTGAAGGGATGATGTTGGCGAAGTGTTCGGACTCTAGGTGTTCCATGTATGAGTTGGCTAGGACGGCACTTATTGGGGACCCCATTCCCATGCCGTAGGTTTGTTTGTAGAGCTTGTTATTGAAGGAAAAACAGTATTGTTTGTAATGGCTTGATAAAGCTCCTGGAGAGCGAAACGTTGCCACAATAAATGTCACATTAGTTCCACTTGTGTCCTTTTACTTTACATATTGTCGGTAATTCTACCAACTTTATTACATATCTGAGTAGTTGAAATTTCTCTGGATTGAACCTCATATTGTTTTAAGTGGCCCATCCAAAGATTTGGTTGATGTCCACTTGGAGTCTTGCATTGTCTTTGATGGAGGACACTGTCACAGCAATTCGGGTGTCATCCTCAAAGACACAAAG